CAGCATTATTAATGTGGACAAATAAATACACATTGAATCAGTATATTTGTTGTTACTCTGAGCTTATTTACCTATAAGTGGAACTCTGTTTGATGAGGTTGGAAGAATTTCATTCAGAATAAGTTGCAACACGGTGATGGCAAGCAGCACAGTGACTTTGAAGCTGAGCTTCTCGCCCCCGCTGTCTGAGATCAGGAAGGAGGATAAGTCCAGACACAAGAAGAACAGGACGGGCAGCATGAGGTTGATAATGTAGAGGGCAGACCTCCTCTTCATGAAGATCTGTGAAATTATGTTAAAAGGTCATGTGGTTGACCTTTACATTTGACAAAGGCCTAACTGAAGCAACTACAGATGTTACAGATATGTAGTACACAACAAGGCAATCTGACCTAAACTGCTCATATCTACACTGTTGCAAGAAGCACTCATATCACTTACTTAGAAGTAGTAATGAGAGAGGAAGGGTAGAAAGTCTACGTTCAGATTTTTGGTCAAGAAAACCAACAGTGGGAGTAATCTGCAGGAGCATCTGCAACCAAACTCCTCGTTTGGTGCTGGAGTCTTTTCTGTAAATGTTCAGGATGAAAGGAGCTGGGCAGGTGTGGGGAGACCGAAAACATCAGAAAATAGCCCCCCTGAAAGCCGTGGTGTAGTTTGCACACTGCTGGTATGGTACTGAGGGTCATTGAGTGGAGGGCTCTGGCAACTTGATGCTATTATTTGGGGTATTTATTAACATGTCTTGGGCTTCCAGGGCTTTGCTACATGCATATGAATCTCCAGAGATGAGCGTAGATGATAATGAGACAGGTATGTTGACGATGTTCCACCTCTTTGTACATATCATATTTACGTTCCATCTCTGTATGTCTGTCTTCAGAAACACTTACAGTGCAAACGATCCTGCTTTGGGTGAAGCCAAAAAGGTCGACAGTCTCGTTGGAGAGAGTCATGTTGACGAACAGCCACTCATACTGGGTCCGCATCACCTTGCAAGACCACTCTGTGATCTTTGAAGAGTTCAGATACCGAACAAGCTGTATTTCATTGACTGATGTGGGAGAGAACAGAACTGTGAGGGTTGTTAGCAGGTAACTAAAACTAAACAAAATTAAATTGGTGTGAAAGAACATCCTAGAAATAAAAAATCAGATTATTACATCTCTGACAATTACCATATCATAATTTAAAAAAACTCAAACTAAACATTTTAAACATTTAAACTCAATTTAAAACAAAAAAACTAATGAAAAATACAAAACTATAATAACTCTGATGCATTCAAACTCAACCATACGTAAGAACAACTTACAGGAACCCAAACTTTTAGACAGAACAGGCTCACCAGAGTGTACGACAGACTTGAAAGAGATGTTGCAGCTCTGGATGTCGAAGGGGAATTTGTGAACTCTCATCCTGCAGGAGCTCACCAGCACCTGGTCGTTCGTAACTTTGATTAAACCGTCGCTTTTAACAATGAGATAAGGACTTGGAGGGGCCTCATCCTTCTCTGTCCTGTATGAGAACACACAAATATGGTTTAAACTGTTGTAAACCAAATGCTTAAAAATGTTTTATTGACATTTGGTCCGATGACTTTATAAAGAGTCAGTGGAAAAAAC